GAGAATGCGCGACCATTCGCCGACAAAAGAATGATTCGGGTATATAACGGTGCGCTTCCTCTAGGAAAATCGTTCTTTTTGTTAAAAAGGGAATTCCGATCGTATCTTTGGCGGCAATCCTCGCGCTGACTCAGAAGACGCCGGCTGAAATACCGCTGACTATTTTTTCGCTTGTGCCGGCTATTACAATAGCCTGCTAATTCGCGGCATATTCCAAATACGCCTGTTTATATCTCGCACCATTTTTATACGCGCCGGTTCATTAGAACGCGTGAATACTTGTTTTTTTTGGCGCGTGTCTTTCGCCTCAGACGACACGCGCCCGCGGGGCTGCACGGTGTCTGCACGCGCACTTGCCAGGTTCGCTTTTTTTTTTCAAACCGGAACCCGGAAAACATGACAAAACAATCAGCTACGTGCGAAAACCCGAGACAAAAATGCGAGCGCCTAAACATACAAAAAAAAGGAGAGTTTAGAAGCGTTAGAATATTGCCGTCGGTTATGGCAACCGTTGCGTTTAAGAAAAAAGAAAATGTGCTAAGATGAAAATAAGCCTGAGAAAAGCGACGTCGTGATGACTAACATTCAGAGGAGGCAGAATATCAGGTATAAAATATTATCGTTGTTCGTCATAAACTTGTGCGCTTAAAACCACCCTTGCATTCGCCCACTACGTTAGAAAATTCCAGAAAAACACTCCCTAGAAAAGCGCGCCAGAGAAGCGAAACTGAAAAATGTTATTAAATAAACATTTTTGGTACGCGTATACTATCTCCCTCTATGCATTTTTCGCACTCTCGCGACCCTATAAAACCGCTCTTGATCGCTCGCGGGTTTCATACCGTCGGTAGTGCTCCGATAGTCACGTTTCGCTGTTACAAAAAGTCAGCGTTTGTTAAAATTATTCACGGGCTATTCGAGGAGCGAGTGTCGTGAGAAATATAATGGCCGCTAACAAGCAGAATATCGAGAAGGATATAACTAATAACACCCGCAGTGTTATTAGT